TCTGGCCCACCAAACCATTCTATCCAACCCACAGGGCCCCTAAAAATTTTAGAAAATTAACTTTTATCTGCCCCTGGCTGCCTGTCAAAGATGATAGGTGGCCCATGGTGCTTGCTGGGCTCATCTGGAGCCAGAACAGGAAGCAGTGGGCAGGGGGTGGAGAGAAGCAGCAGTGGGGAGGGTGGGGCATGGGAAGCAGTGGGGGCTGCGGGGACCAGTGCGGGAAATGGTGAGCAAGTGTGCAGGAGGGAAAGCAGGGAAACAGTGGCAGCAGCTCTTGGGCATGAAGCCAGTGCAAGTGCCATGGGATTGGCAGGGATCCAGGGTGGGGTGGCAGGAGTGCAGAGCCTGAGCACAGGGTCTGCCTGGCTGCATCGCATGAGGCTCGCATGCAGTCTGCAAGAGCCGCACACAATGGAGCCAGCAGCTTGGCGCGCATACGTGTGCTCTCTCACACACCATACAGTAGGACTGCATTTTGAGCTATTATGCAGTCACCCCTAGATGCATTTTGTAAACACATAAATCAGTACAAAAATATTTTTAAATAAAATTAAAGTAAGTTATAGTAGCTATAATTTTTTTGTATACGATTGGGGGGGGGAGTTCTGGTTTCAAGACTGCAGCACCCTTCCTCCCAAAGGTAGTACTTCCAAGGCAAGACAAGGGACTTCTAGTAGCAAAGGTGAGGGGTTGGGGGCTGGACTTGCAGTCCCAATATGGTGACCAGGGGGCATGGCAATTCTCGAGGGGTGGGTCTACCCATGCAGCCCTTGACAGCTCCCTGAAACTCGGTAAGCATCCCTCCATCCAAAATAATTGCCCAGCTCTACACTAAACCCTTCACCCACGCAGTAATTATGACTCAATTATCTCTCCAATCCTGTTTAACATCAGCATGTAGCCAGTGAGTGAACTGGTAAGATGAGCACAGAAGTGCCAGCAATGCATAGATGGCACCCAGCTCTACTTATTTATTACAGTGTATAACAATACCGCTACCAGTTACATGGTTCACTGGATGGATAAGTGCAGTGATGAGAATCATTTTGATCCTAAGGCTTCAACCAGCTTGATCCTAAATGAGCCATTCATAGTGCTAGTAAGCAGGAAAAGCACTTTGAGGAGTTTGCGGTCTCACTGGATTGAAGATACAACCCATGGTTGTTTGGTTGGATTCATAGTTCAGAAGTGCTCCTGGATTTCCTACTGATAAGTTCCAGCTAGACAAACTTTGGTTACTGTAGTATTCAGGTGACTGTACAGTCAAAGAAGTTATTTTAAATTTGTCCTCTTTTTTGGATTGCCTTTCTAGCCATTATTGTGAAAGCATATGCTTTGAAGTGTTACAGGAATATCTTTCTGAATCTGCAGTTAGCTTTAAACAGCTCAAGGGACATCAAAAGAGATAATGCAACTACTTCACTACAAATTTATGTATATTTAGTATGTATGCATATTTACTGCTTTTGAGATCCAACTTATGGCCAGCAACTGCTTTTGAAGTTTTGTCCCTAGCAGTTTACTTTTATCTTAAATATCAGGACAATGCTTTGCTTGTACAAGCATCACACGTCATGAGTGTCAGTGAAAAGGTTGTAAAAGATTTTTTCCATCCCTCTGGCGTGATGGCCATCTCTATAGCATCTAAGCACCTTAAGCATGAATGAGTGAAAGTCAGTGAATGTAATGTTACAACACCTCAGTGAACTGGTTAAGTATCACTGTCTTTTTTTTATAGTTTGTACTGAGATACAGGAAATATGCACATCTTATCCCAAGTTACATCAGGACCTTACAACAGACGTTGGGATAGAATCAGCTGTTCTGGATCCCACTTCTCCGTCTTGGCCACCAGACCAGTAAATCAATTTGTATTTGTTTGACCCAAATTGTCTGTGGCCTCTGCATGACTTCATAAATGTGGAGGGATGAGCAAGAGGCTTCTCCTGTGGAACAGCTGTTAAAGGTTAATCATAAAAGTCACTGGAGAACACAGCCGCTACTTGTTCCTTGAGCAAGCAGAATCAAACTTCTGAGGATGAGGGAGGAGTCTGAGTCATAGCACTGCTCCTGGTCTGTGGACTGAGGCTGGTATCAGGGGAGCCACACCGCACTAATCTAGTGGCTGATATAAAACATGTGCCTTCTGTGCACAGGAAGCAGCACCAAGAGAGATAATGCCTGTAACAACCCCCTTAATGTTACATGCTGTAATCTAGCACTTTATTGTGTGCAGTGTAAGTCCATGGTCCTGTTCAAAGAAAAAAACAAAAGTATATTCATGAGTTGGTAAAACATAAAGAGTTATTGTGTTTTTTTGATGAGCAGTATGTAGAAAGATGTGATCCTGCTTACCAACTGAACAAAGTAGAAGGAACAACGAGTCAGTGAAAGGTGTCTGACTTTTACCATGGTTATGTTGAAGAAAAAGAGAAATAAGTTACCATGTTTAGGAATGGTTTGTAAAAGTCAGACTTTCCTGACTCTTACATGAATATTAACACTGTCCCATCAGTATTCTGTGTAGACTTGGATTTTGAAGATCAGAAAATGGAAAAAGATAGCTTAGGTCAGCCTGGAAGCAGAATGGATCTAAGTATAAGGAAAGTGACGACAAACAAAAGGTTGATGTCTGTTCCTCTGTCTAGACCCCTCTGTTGAAAGCACTGTTTTCATAAGACTCAGACAGAATTCATTTCCATACAGAGTCCTTAATGGTTCCTGTCAGAACAAAACAGCTGGGAAACATATGGTATCCATTTCCCTGTATCACTTGGAAAAAATTTCACATGTAAATAAAACCAACATAAAAGTGTAGCCCTTTGAACTTAGAATTTTATACAATATATAAATAAATCAGTACAATGAGTTCTTTGTATTGGCCCACTAAGTTATGTGCCTTTTTATTACTATTATTTTTATTATTTCCTGAGAAGTATATTCTCAGGAGCTTCCAAAGATACCAAAGTAATATTCACACAGCCCCAAGTACTACAGCTTTAATAACCTTGCTGCGAAAGTATATAATTGCTTCTTAAGGAAGGTGTTTGGTACAAATTGCGTATGTGATCACAAATTAAATTCCACTGATATTGCACACATGGTTAATGTGTAATAAATCTATTACGCTTATGTTGTGCTGTTAAATTTTAGAATGTGTTAATTCTTGATAAAAGTGATCTGAAAAGGAAACCACATTGATGTGATTTATAAATATAAAGGAAACTCTTCATCAGGATATCACCGATTCTGGGAGTCAGTAGATATTACAAAATCTAGCAGGGGAGCACAGGCTGTAGAGGAGAATGGGGCTGTGAAGCAATTGAATTATCCCTCCCACGAAGCACCAGAATGGCATAAACAAAAATATTCTCAGTTCTTCTGCAAACATTTTCCATAAAAATGGACACAATTCATCAACACATTTCTACTTGTAAAATAACAGTCCTCCGTGAACAAATTTCAAAACTGTCAACCCATCCTACTGTTATACACACAGAAAAATACCCAACTGCTACAGGACAGTCCAGTGAAATAAAAAGAATAGAGCTTGTCTTGGAGCTGTCCTGAATGCCAGGAGGCTCAATTTTTGGTTTTTCTGATTACAAATAATTTTGTTCTTGGCATTGAAATGGTATGTGGCATTTATAAGAAATGTATTTTCAATAATATTTATGTCTCGTATTCCTGTAGCAGGAGTAAGATTAACCATAAATCTGCTTACATACAAATGCAGCATGTTTTCAGGTAATGTGTATTCCCCTTGTTTTGTCATGAGTATTGCACATTCTGAAGATACAATATAATGAGCATTTATATTTGATACTGATCGTTCTAAATTTTACTCCTTTGTTTCTGCAGTTTCCAGCACCAGCTGGAGCTGTGGCGTTTCAACTCTTATTGGAAATGCACAAAAACCGGGAGGAATTACAGATATGTGCAATAAGTTCAGACCAGTGAAGAGGGTTTCCCCACTGAAGCACCAGCCAGATTGCTCTGAAAACAATGAAAGTGATGACCAAAAGAACCAGAAGGGGGAGTATCAGAAAAGTAGTGATTCTCACTCTGCACCTGAGAACGATGATCAGTGCCCAGGAGATGGAGAGAACCTTAAAAGTAAAAGTGTTGAGGCCGGAGTTCTGCTTGGGGAGCTGGAGCACTATGACCTGGATATGGATGAAATTTTGGATGTGCCTTACATTAAATCAAATCAGCAACTTGCTGCTTTTACTAAGGTGGCACCAGAGAAAAAGATTTTGGGTGTATATTCAACACTGAATGGCCTTAGTGGCAAGACCAGCTCTGCAGGGAACACTGAAAACTTGCCAGCCAGCACAACACAGTTTTGTGTTCTGTCCCCTGTGAAAAACTCTCAGTTGAGAAAAATGCAGCCCATTGTCCTTGATCAGCACAAGCATTTAAATGAAGAACTGGAGCTTTCCCAGCCTCTACTTAAATGTAGTTCAGTCCACGAACCTGAGTCCCAAAGCAAGGGCTTCCTCAGCAGAACATTTGCTGATCCCCAGGCTCATAAAACTGAGAAGACCATGCCAAACTGCCAGCTGAGGACTTTTCATCTGCAGACTGCAGTGACAGAAAACAAACTTGATGACCTGAACAGTAATATAAACTGGAACAGTGTAGGAGGCCCAGAAGAAAGGAGTGAAGATGTGAAAAAAATTAAAAGTATCCTAAACATTGTGAAAGAAGGGCAGATATCATTATTGGTAAGTGTCCTCTTTTTTGTAAAACATGTAGAAAAGAACACTATACTGATACTTTAAATCAGTCGGTTGACTTCATGTGTATCGTGCACTGCAACTCTGTGCACCCTTAATTAGAAATTGAGGGTACAAGTTTTCAGTTGAAAGCTGTGGAGCTTAAATCACATGTATAGCTAAACTAGCAATAACTTTAGGTAGTTACAGACAACAATAAACTGAAATAATCTAAAATAAAGAGGCTTTCAATTTTAGAATCCACTTGTGCAATACATTTGAATCTGAATGGAGTCCTTTCACAGTGTTTGCAGTTCATTTTGTTTGGTTATTTGTCATTTACATCAGTTACTTCCCATGAGAACAGAGAGGCTTCTGTTGTATTCTAATTATTATGCCGGAGTGTTCATGTCAGTTGGTTGCAACAGCATTTGCAGACAGGAGTTTACTCTAAAGCCTGACTGCCCTCTGTCCCATATGAAGTTTTTAGTTAGCTCCAGCTCTGTGAGCAGACACCATCAATACTCGTTTCCAAAGAAACAAGATCCAGGTTAACAACAGGATGCAAGGTGAGGAGACAACTCACAAAGACTGTCAGAACAGTAACATATGTGCACAAACTATTTTGTACTGATTTTTTTTTTTCCAGGTTTAACATTTTAGAGTAAGCACAATGTCACTTTAACACTAACCAAAACAGAGTTTTTAAAGACTAGAAATGGGCAGAGGAATCTGTCACAATACTAAAGGAGAAATAAAACCAAGTCATGCATCCAAAAAGTAGAAATAAAGAAAACCAGTTTTTTGGATATATTTTTAAAAAACTGAGAGAGACAGACAGACTCATCAAGTGCATGTATTAGCTAATATGCATAGTTACATGATTTTATCATGGTTACTCTTTTGTCATCCTTTTTTAATCTCTCTCCTGTTATTTCTTAAAGCCACTTGTTATATTTTGCTGTAAAAATAGATTTGGATGGAATTACATGTTACCATATGTCTGTGCAGTGTAGCACAATATTCGCAGGCATTATTACAATGCAGTTTTATTAATGGAATCAGTTCACAAATTAGCATAACATTCAGATGTCATGGAGCTGAATTACATTTTTCTTTGTATTTAACACAAACTGAAACATGCTATGGACTAAGATAAATTTGGCGCTTGGCACATACATTTACTGGGGAAGCATCATGGACACTTTAAATTGATGTTTTCCTAGAGGTAGTAGCATAAAAGAAAAGGGACAAATCGTAAGACATGCAGTTAGACTAGAAAATATATGCATGTTTTATTTTGTTTGACAAAATAATACCAAGAGACTGTGTCACAAAACATGACCTTTCATAGTAATTGCATGAGACTGATATCAACAAGATAACCACTATCTAGTCCTTTATCCTGGGCGCATCAACACGAGATGCTTACTGCACGTTGGCCTAATAACAGTGCACAGTAGTATGTCACAGCAAAAACAGTGCTAATACCGTACTGCACAGAGTTATTAGTCTAGTGTACTGTAAGCATCGCTAAATAACCATGCGCTGGCGCTACTGTACAGTAATTTTAGGTACTGCATATTTAGCTAGTGCTTTATTAAGGAAGTAGTAAACTAAATGTGCAATATCTAAGGTGCATTAATGAATGTGTAGATGTGACCCCTGTCTCTAATATAGGCCAGTCTCAGCTTGTTTACAGGAAAAGTATAAAATCCCTATTATGGACAAGTAGAACATGCAGGGGCATTTCCTTGTGTTCTCACAAACTGTTTGCCTTGTATGTTGAACCATGAAGCTTACATTTCTAATTTGCACATGTGATGTACTGATTTTTCACCTTTTTCATACTTTTTTTTTGCACAGCCACACCTGGCAGCAGACAATTTGGACAAAATTCATGATGAAAATAACAACAATCTCTTGCACATAGCAGCATCACAGGGACATGCTGAATGTTTGCAGCATCTCACTTCTTTGATGGGGGAAGACTGTTTGAATGAACGGAACACTGAACAACTAACTCCAGCTGGGTTAGCAATAAAGGTAACTTGGTTTTAAAGCTCCATGATGGCTGTCAATAATCAACAGGATGTTACTTTTCAAGACCTTTTCATTCAATTGGGTAAAAAATGGGCGTAGAAAGGATACTTCTAAAGTTGACTGATATCACAAAAGCAAATGAAAATGTGGTACTGTTAAAGAATTTATTTCTCATAAACCATTGCTCGTTTCATAGGTGATTGTTGGTTGATACATTAGCCTAACTTTAAATCAGTTAAATTTCTGGGCATTAAAGAAAGACTGTTGAATTTTGTATTTATACCATTTTCGGTTATTCGCATTAGAATTTCTGTGAGTAAAGGACTCCTTTATTCGTCATGATGGTGTCTTGTTTTTTTTTACTAATACGAGTATATCATTAAAATGAGTGTGAGAGAGTGTTTTCAAAGTCCTTTTTGCTTGGTTCTAAAACTTTTTTAAAGGTACCAGATCTGAAGCTGACACTTCTTAGTCATCCAAAGCAGACCGGAGTATCAAACCTCACTTAACATTTACCTTCTAAATAGCACAGTATGCAACCTGTCAGAAACTACAGAAAATAATGTCATGTGAGAATAAATTAAAACTTCCAGGATATTCTGCTATATAGGAAAGCATGACTGTGCTGCACTAAAGTATAGTGGTGCACAGGAAAGTTTACAATTGAACAATTTTTATGGTCTTTAGTAAATATGGTTTAATGCAGTCACTTTCAGTAGGTACCTCAGCAAGAAACTTGGGAATGGGAAATACTATACAAGAGTTTGTTTCCGTGGTTATTTTAATGTTCTTCATAGGAAAAGTCTGGTAATTGATACAGGCCTGGCAAGATCTGTACTGCAAAAAAATCTTTGAGAATTCAAGAGATTAGCCTTTTTAGTGAACCAGTATCCCAATTATAGCATCAGAAAAGCATTGTATTTTAGCAAGTGTCATCTTTCAGATTAAGAGATGAACTTCATGTCCGTGTGCCATTGGTAGTTAATTGGTTTTCCTAGTTTTCAGAATCCTAGCTGCACTGATCTCTTTCTTCTTAGCAGTGGTGTCTTAATCCATTGCTACAGTTATCGTAGATGCCATAATAATACAGATACTCAACAAGAATAACGTACAGAGTATCCTTTAGCTATTTGACAACAAAGACATAAATACAAAAGGTCAAAAGGCCAGAGTCAACTGCTCCCAGGCACAGTGTCTACACCTGTGCCTGGGACTGCAACATTTTGAGCCAGGGTAGAGCAGCCTCAGGCTGATAGAAACCCTGGGGGGTCAGCTCAAGGCTTCAGGTGGTGGCACTGGGTGGCAGAGGGGCTGGCTGGGGCACAAAGATGGTAAAGTGCAGGACTAGGTAGCCCCTGCACTTTAGCACCCTTGCATCCCAACCAGTCCCTGTCACCATCTACACGTAAATGTAAGTACTCCATTGTAAGACGGTACTGTTGGAGAGGATACCACCATATGACATAGTTAATTAATTTACTGCGACCAATACCAGTGCATGTGTAGATGGTGGCACTTTGCTGTGGAGCTAATTAATCTACTCTGCAGTAAAGGGCATGTGGAGATTCACCCACTATCTACTAAATTTTGGGGAGTAGTGAGAGGAGTAACACAAGCAGTATTTTACATTCTGAAAAATGCACGTTGTGCAATGTGCATGTAAATATTGCTTCACTTACTCTTGAAAGGCAACCCCATATGAATTGCTCTTCAGTAACTATTCTATGTCAGGAACTCCCTACAGCTGATTTTAGGAGGGAAAGGCAGAACAGTTTGTTCATCTAAAACTGTAGGGTAAGTTTAAGTAGGGAGAACATTGCCAGTAGCCAAATTGTAATTGGTCCTGGGCACCAGGATACAAAAGCATATTATTGGCTGATGTAGAAACAACCTTGGAAAAAATCGGAATGATTTATGTGGCAGTCACAATGTATAAGTGATTCTGATGGAATTTTTGCTGTTTAGTAGATAATGCTTTTGAATCTGAAGCAGCTGGATTTTTTTTTAACTCTTCCTCTCCTCCATTTAGAACGGTCAGTTGGAGTGTGTACGGTGGATGGTGAGTGAAACGGAAGCTATTGCCGAATTGAGTTGTTCTAAAGATCACCCAAGCCTTATTCATTATGCAGGTTGTTATGGTCAGGTATGATTCCATTTTAAATCAGTGTTTTTAGTTTGTAAAAGAAGTTGATTTGAATGGTGACACAAGAATTCCATTTTGCAGTGTTCATAACAAACACGTTCTAATGGCATATATGTTCATTTTTTAAGTACGAGCTTTCTTTTTCACCCCATATCTAGCAGGCCCCCACAAAAGTCCTTAATAATCAGGGTGATTTAACCTTTATATTCCTCTGAATTTCTACTGTCAAGCTATAATTATTAGCTGCCAGTACAATTAGGTGTCACATTTGATTAGTGCTCTTTTCTTTCAATCTTGGAAACTCTCATAAAAGAGATTAGTCATCTCTTCATAGTCCCTGGGGGATTTCTTGGCCACATCCCCAAATCACTCAGCAGTCTGGGATAGTCTCCTTTTTTGGAGACAATAAGCCAGAATACTTCAGTAAAATGTGATAGTTTGGGAATTCAGTGTATTGGCAGTGATGTGGGGTATAGGGAAACATGAACTGCATCTGTTTAAATCAAGCCAGTTTAATTGAGAATAACTTGTAAAAGTGTGTTGTAAACTCACCCTTACTGCACCTAAACTCCACATAAATCCAGTAATAGGGAACCTCAAAGTACAACGTTTGAATGATTATGACAACTAAACCAAACAATATGGGTGAAACTGTAACTGTAGGTTATGACAGTCCACTTTCCTCAAAATGACCCTGCAGTAAATCCATCCAAGAAACCCTTTATTAGTTCTACCAGAGTATTGACCTTGTGGGAAAGATAGTAGTCTTCTGGTTTCTTTGGAAGATGGACCACTGCCACCCCCCTCTTCCTTCAGTGCACGTTAGAGACGAGCAGCAGTCCATTGAAATTCTGGGCCGTGTGTAGATTAAATGAGGGACAAGCGTACACAACACTTTAAAGCGGGCTAAATGCTTTTGCACCACTTTAATGGTGTTGGTGTTTACACACCTCAGCAGCATATTGCACATTAATTCCAGTCACTGTAGGAAATTTGGCAGCGTAATGTGCCTTACGTGACTTGGGGTGCAGCAAACTAAAACTCTGTGGAGTTTTAGTTTGCTGTCCATACAGCTGTGGAGCAAAGCACCGGGCTCTGTGCAGCTCATTGGCTCTGCAGGAAGCCCTGCAGGCAGCCTGGCAGCACCTTAGGAAAGCAGATTTTGCCCAAGAAAAGAAGTGAACCAACCTCTCTTTATTTTTTTTTTTTCCCCTCCTTGGAGCCTGCCTGCCTGAGCTGCGCAGGGGCCTGGTGCTTCCCTCTGCAACTGCGGTGCCGCTTGGGACTACCTGAGCCGGGTACCTGTGGGCGGCGCTGCCACTGCCGCAGAGGCAGGCACCAGCCTCGCGTCCCTCCCCCCACCCCAACCCAGGAACCGCTCCGCTTGTGGGCAGCTCACCCTTATTGTCAACATCATTTTTCCCCTTGGTTATTTTTGTGCTCTCTCAAAAAAATAATCAGTCACTCTAACAAAAAAATTAGTCCTCTAGAATGGGTAATGATAGGACAGCAGAATCAATACATAGTGGCTTTTATGACAAGGTTCTTTTTTTTTAGCCATCTCTGTTGGTAAGAATTAGGGCCCCGCCTGAAATGCTAACTGATACCAGGCAGTTTGGGGTGTGACTTCCTTTGGTGCTTTATTCTCACTTTTTGAATGTAAGGAATAAGGGTGGATGCTACAGGGAAAACCCAAGAAAAGAAGTGAAGTATGAATTTACATTAATAGCAGTGTTCAAATCACATTAAACATGAAACTCTTAAGTAGGGTAGCATTAGACTAAGTATATAGGGCAGTATTATTAGAATCCAAATGATTTTCACAGAGCTGCTGATTTATACTAGTAGAGGATCTGCTACATTGTCATAGGCTCTATTCAGAGCAGAGTAGAAGCTTACACCAATTTATAGTGACCAGCCCCAGTCAACCAAGCTTGAAACTAGGAAAAGTAATAAAAAAATATTGCCAAACCTCTGCAGTCATCTGAATGTCAAGTACATTTCACATGAAATACATTTTTTTTAAAAAGGATCTAATTCCATAAGCATCTTGCAAACTGGAAAGAATGTTGAGACAGAAAAGAAACCAGACATTTTCTATAAAGATTGTAGCCAACCCTGGTAAGGGGAGAAAAAGTTGAAAGATTCTAATGCACAGTTAGCTATCCAAGAAACTTTAATTTATTCAACAATTATGGATTCAGAAGATAACCTGTGTAAATGCTGGCCTTGGCAGAATTACAAGGGTAATATTTTTGCAAGGGAGAACTGTCATTGAATAGTTTTCTAATGGATTCAGAACATTCATTATTTCTTCCAGAACAAGGCATACGTACCATTTTGTTTCTTCAGTAAATATTGCTTATAACGAGCAGTGCAAGGATTAGACCATTTGTGTCAAAGCCTCTGTGTCACCCTTACAGGATTCTAAGGCATTAAATAGATTGCATCCTATGCCGTCATCCCAAAGTCTACCCTTAGAAAACCCAATATCCCTCTTAAACCAATACAGGGTAAGATAGCCAAATTAGTCAATGAGAGTAATGGGTCCAGTTACAGATGCAGTCTGAAAGCTCCACAGTGTTAATCTTTTGTTTTTATTCCAATTAATAATAAAAAATGCCCTTTGCTCATCCATCCAACTATCCATTCTATTCAAGAAGTTAGCTGTACAGAACAAAAATCTGCAATATCACTGAAGCATGCTGTAACATCATTTTAAAATACCAGTTTAGGGCACTTCTTAAATTTCTTGTATTGGTTTTTCTTTTAAACTAGCCCCACAGTTCTATATGGGTAGGTTAACCTTAGACATTTCAAGATGAGAATAACAAGCCTTGAGATCATCAAACATAATTGATAACTGATTGATACCTACAATATATAATTGATGTGTATCAAACATTAATCATTTTACTTTATTTGGTTCTTATAAATAGATTTTCTTTGAATTTAATTTAGTTGAAGAATATGCCTGTTTACAAGAATCTTCATTTTCCAAAGGCACTAAGGCCCATGACTACCTGTCTTAGATTTTACCTTCCACTCACCCCAGAAATATGCATCAGGTGCAGAAGAACACTCAACCTAGGGGAGATGCATAGCTCTTGCATTGTTTCAGTGGGAAGCCCTTGACCTCACAGAAGCTAATCTTGCTCGACCCAGTGAGGGGGTCTCCATTATCTCATTGAGTACTTCAGCGCATACTTTGGTGTGTCCATCGTGTCAGGTTCCAGCTGGTTAAGAGGGGAGATGTCTTATTTAGATCCAGTTCCTTAAAGGGCATGTATCCATCTGACAGAAATCAACACTGATGTTAGTATAAACAAACGCAGGGAAGGATCCACCTTTGACACGATTTCATAGATTTTCATAGACATTAGGGCTATGAAGGAACCTTGAAAATCATCAAGTCCAGCCCCCTCCCCCAGGGGCAGGAAGTCAGCTAGGGTCAAAGGATCCCAGCAAGATAAGTATCCAAACATTTCTTGAAAAAGTCCAGAGTAGGTGCCTGTACCGCTTCTGGAGGGAGTCTATTCCGGGCCTTGGGGGCTCAGATCATAAAGAAGTTTTTCCTTATGTCCAGCCTAAAACAGTCATGGAGGAGTTTTTGACCATTGGTCCTTGTTATCCGTTGGGGCACTCTGGTGAACAGACAGTCCCCCAGATCTTGATGCGCACCCCTTACATACTTAATGGCAGGCACCAGGTCACCCCTGCCTGCGCTTTTCCAGGCTGAAGAGTCTCATGGCTCTCAGCCTCTCATCATAAGGCCTGTTCTCTTGCCCCCAATCATGTGCTCGGCTCTCCTCTAGATTCTCTCAAGCTTGTTGACATCCTTCCTGAATTGTGTAGCCTAGAATTTGATGCAGTACTCCAGCTGCGGCCTAACCAAGGCCGAGTACGGCGGGAGGATGATGTCCTGAGATTTACTTGGGAAGCATCTGTGGACGCAAGCCAGACTTTTTTGTTTGCTTTACCAGCTGTGACATCACATTGGTGGCTCATGTTCATCTTGTGGTCAGTCGTGACCCCCAAGTGTCTTTCAGCCATGGTGCTAGCAAACATAGCACTGCTGAGCCTATAAGCATGCTGCGGGGTGTCGTCACTCCTCCCCCCACCCCAAGGTGGAGTACCTTGCATTTTTCGGTATTGAACATCATCAGGTTTATATCCACCCACTTACTAAGCTTATCCAAGTCAGCCTGGATCACCAGCCTATCCTCAGGTGTGGACGCTATGCCCCAAAGTTTAGTGTCATCGGTGAACTTGACCAGTGCGCATTGTTGATAAAAATGTTGAAGAGAACCAGTCCAAGCATAGAGCCTTGGGGGACACCACTGGTCATTGAGTGCCATAATGATTCACTTCCATTGACTACTACTCTCTGGGTCCAACCTCGGAGCCAATTCCCCAGCCGTCAGACTGTGATGTAGCCAAGGCCAGTGTTGGCCAGTTTTTGCAAGAGGAGGTTGTGGGACACCAGATCACTTTTTTAAAGTCCAGATATATGGTGTCAATCTCTTCTCCTTTGTCTAGGTGATATGTTACCTTGTCATAAGAGAAGAGATTGGTCAGGCAAGCCCTACCCCTGAAAAACCTGTGCTGGCTGTCCCTCAGGATGTTGCCATTAGCCAGCTTATCAAGAAGGGTCTCTTTAAAAATTTTCTCCAGAATCTTACTGGGGATTGAGGTCAAGCTGATTGGCCTGTAATTCCCAGGATCTACTTTCCGCCCTTTCTTGAAGATGGGCACCACATTAGCCTTCTTCCAGTCTTCAGGTACTTTGCCTGAGCACCACAGGTTTTTTTAAATAGTTTTGCCAATGGTTGGGCTATGACACCTGCCAGCTCCTTGAGTACTCTAGGATGTAATCTGTCAGGACCAGCTGACTTGAAGATGTCCAGCCTCTCAAGATGTTCCTTTACAAGGTCTACACTGATGCTGGGTATAAATATGCCCTCACCCTGGTCGTCCCACGTTATGCTAGGCAGGGTGGTCCCTTTGGGCTGATGAAAGACTGACGTGAAGTACCCATTAAGCAGGCTGGCTTTTTCCTGGGTGTCGGTTATCAGTTGTCCCATTTGGTTCAGCAGGTGTCCAAAGTTGCCCTTGCATTTTTTCGGACTCCCTACATATCTGAAAAAGGACTTTTTATTGTCCTTGATATGAGAAGCCAGATGGAGTTCAGTTGCAGACTTGGCTTTCCTGGTCCGCTCCCTGCAGGCACGGACCAGTACTGAGTACTCCTTCTTGGTGGTTATTCCAGCCTTCCATCCTTTATAAGTCTCTCTTTTTAGGCATAGGGAGTTCTCAAGTTCCCTGATGAGCCAAGGGGGTTGCTGTGCCCTTTTGCTAGCCTTCCTCCAAAATGGGATGCACGACACCTTGTGCTGTCAGGATTGCTCCCTGGAGGAGCAACCACTCATCTTGGACTCCTCTTCCTGTCAAGTCATGGTCCTTAGGGCCTTGACAACGAGCCTCCTGAGCTTGTCAAAGTTAGCTTTCCTAAAGTCAAGGACTTCTGCATTGCTGATTGACTTGCCAGCTTTGCGATGGATAGTAAAGGTGATCAGCTCGTGGTCACTATCACCCAGCTTTCCATTGATTCTTACGTCACTGACTAGATCATCCCCTTTGGCAAGTACCAGGTCCAGCAATGCTTTACCTCTTGTCAGCACATACTCTTCTTGAGTCAAGTAGAGCTCGTTCATACATGTGAGGAAGCTTTGCAACCGGTCATTATGATGCCAGTGTCCACCTTAACCACCACACTGTTGAGGCAAAAAGTATTTGCTCAGGAACTGAGACACCTCCCTTGTGCTCAGTGGATTGAACCCACATCTCCTGTTTCACAGGAACTTGTCCAAAGCATGCACTAGGCAGTGCTGAGAGCATTAACCCCCTCCCCTCTTGAAGCTAAGCTATTGGGCAGCCCAGAGTGAAGACTCATGGGGTCAGAAGGCAAGTAAGCATGATGAAGAGTACTTCTGTAGCCCAAGGAAGAGAGCACTCTCCTGGATGGGGGGAGGCCTTCTGTTCCTGATGCAGTTTGTATGTCTTGCCTCATGAATAAAATCAAGTTACCCAGAATTAAAAACAAGGGGCCAAATTTGTATGGGCCTCAACCTTAGTGGTATACTTACAGTCAGCTATTTTTCAAAAAATTGCCAAGATTACCCTTAACCTTCTACCTACTCAAGTTTCGGAAGCAATGAGGTGACTTATAATCGGCACAATACAAATTATGATTTTAGGTACAAAATTGGAAACCAGATTCCAAAGGTAGGCCCTTTACATGTACCAGAGAAATTATACATACATTTGTAAGCTACAGTTCTTTTAATTTTACGCAAGCATTTCTCTAAAATATGTGTAGATTTTAATGCTAAATAAGCCAAAAGCCATCACCCAGAGAAAGTGTAGTCTATTTTCATTGCTGTCCAACACCAAAGGCATGCTAGAAATTATTCAAAAGAGAATTGTACAGGGAATCTGGAGTCATCTCCCCTGTACTACTTCAATCAGAGCAAAGCTAAGGAGAAAGATTAAGTACCCTTCCTCTCACCGTGTCATAAAAAAGGGAGGGAAAAGATAACACTTGAGGGGAAAGATAAAGAAGATACATTCCAGATGGGCTGACCGTCTGAAGTAATAAATTGAGATCCAGGTGGCTAAGTGAGTTGGGATGATTTTGAGGGAGACCATTTGCTCTGCTTGGACATTAAAGCTCTTGGTACTTTCCAGAAGAAGTGGGTCTTGTCCTCAAAATCCTTAGTTTCCCTATGTAACTGTTTCTGGCCTTAGTCCCCAAGGTGGTTACATGTCAGCACTTGTGTATATACATGTGTCTTGTCCTGCAAATGTGTTGTGTAAGTACTGAATTCAGTGGAGATACTGAAGTGCTAAAGGTTAAGTATGTACATAAGTAGGTGTATGATTGATTTGGGCAGTAATCTGTAAAACTCTTTGGAATTAAAGTCCTATATGACTGTAAAATAATGCAGAGCAGTGAAGCCAAGATGACTTTTTAAAAATGTAAATGGAAAAAGTTTAAAAAAACAACAAAACAACAACAATGAATAAAACATTTTTATTCAAAACAGTCTTCAACCAAAGAGAATCATTTAGTCACCACTGAGATGAAAAAGCAAAGAACATTCCTGTAATCAACTGTAATTTAAAAGGGTTTGCTGGGGGGAGGTTTATAATTAATTTAATTTGTAGTTTTATTGCAGATTTTCAGTACTTTCAGAAGGGCACAGACAAATTTAATCTAAGGAAGCATGTAAGCTTGCTACAATGTAGAACAAATGACCCAAAGAATCTTGATGTGGGAATAAAACAAAATAAAGCAACCTAACTACAGTAAAAGCTCTGTTATCCGGCATCCCCCAGGAATGGGGGATGCTGGTTAATCAAATGTGCACCGTCTGGTGCACTTCCTGATGTCAGTGTGCCGGGGGATAGGGAGGGGGGCCCCATGCAGGCTGCTTTGCCCGAGGCTGTGGACCAAAGAAGTGACAAAGAAAAACTCAGCTTGCGGTGGCAAAACCGGAAGTCCCCTGGAAGTGGTACTTCCGGTTTCGCTTTTGCTGCATCCCTTGGATGCCTGTTAGTAGAGTTTTCCGGCTAATAAAGTGCCAGTTAACACAGCTTTTGCTGTACAAGTATATAAACTGTTTGGTGTTATGAAATAAATCAGCTGTAAATGTATATTACAAAAAAGGGGGAAAACAAAGCAAATTGTTTTAAAATAGCATTTTTAAGATTACAAAATCAACAGGAAATGCCAGAATTAGGGCTCTTTGTGCAATCTAAATTCAGGCCCTATGTATGTATGTATGTATAACAATGGTATAATATCATGACCTCACTCAGCCCTGGTTCCTTCCAATTATATGCTTTTTCTGTTCAATTCTATTTCATACCCACAAACTAACTTCTTTGTTAGATATTTGCTTGTACCTTCTCCTCTCACCCCAGTGGTTCAGTCCGAGTCCCATTTCCTAGACAATCCCAGCTTCATCTGAGATCTTCATTTTACTCATTTCCTGTCCAAATGTCCCCTTCCCACCCTCTTTTTTCCTCCAAGATTTCCAGACCCAGTTTCTCTGACCAGTCTTGGCTCTTCCTCCTCGGTTGTAGTCCCAGAGGGTTTTTTTTTCTCCATACAATTCCAGTTTCCGCAGTTCTGCCACTCTCTCCCTCCCCTACTTCTCAGCTGGGCGGGAGCCTCATTGAAATCATGGAGGAGACAAAGCCCCTGCTTTTAGTTTTGGTTCTCAGCCAGGCCCAACCTGGTCATGGGCTAAAGTGGTGATGGAATCTGTGAGGAATTTATCTGCTGAAGTTCAAGAAGATGGTGTTGTGCGTCTGTGAACTGCTATTTCTCAAAGACTTGCAGTTCACCAATTCTGCACACATTAGGGGCTGACATAAGGTGTATCCTTCAAAAAAAAAAAAAAAAAAAAGGCTATCCTCCCACATTAAGTCTGCTTCAAACCTAATGCTTTTCAAAGAAACATTTGTCTCTCAGGCTTTAGGCAAACCAAATCATCTCTTCCCCTTACCTTATTCTTGTAAACAGCTGAATTCCTGGCTCAAGTTTTCTAAAAAAAATCAGCTCGAGGCAAACACCAATCCTTGGTAAAGCTTGGCAGAGTTATAAGCAATTGAAAACAGGGTGTTATGGTGGGAAGTAACAGCAAGCATTAATGATAGCTGGTCTGCAAGGAAGACTTACAGCTTTTCTTTGTTTCTTTCTTAACTCTTGTTACTTTTCTTTGCCCCAGGAGAAAATCCTGCTTTGGCTTCTTCAGTTTATGCAAGAGCAAGGAATATCACTGGATGAAGCTGACCAGGATGGTAACACTGCCGTTCATGTAGCAGCCCAACATGGTTACCTAGGGTGTATACAGGTAGAGTACCAACACATTTATTTCTAAGATCTAATTTAAATTTAAAATTGGAAAGTAGCAACCCTTAACAGTTTCTATAGGTTAAAAAAGGTGATAACTCCTGAGGTGGGGGGAGTTCCCTCAGCCCTAGCTCCACATATATCATGCTTCTGTAAACTGGTGAAGGTACCTGGGAAGAGATCAGCCCCCTGTCCCCAAATAAATGCCAGCTGAAAGAGGCATCCAGCATGAGATACTAGAGATGAAAGAGTTCCTCCATCCCCTGCTACACCGTGGGGTTACCAGGAGTCTAACACTGGGGATCCTCTCTCCAGAGTCAGATTTACAGAGCCCAGGGATGGGCATTCAGTCATGGCTCCCAGGTGCATGCCTAGTTTTTAAAGATCCCAGGTGTTGTGAGCCCAGCATCAGAGAAAAGCTCCCCAATGTCAAGCTCATGGCACCTTGGACCTGTAAAAAATACCCTGGTCTGACAGCCCTGCTGCATCCTTCCCTCCCAAAGACCACCAGAAATCTTTCCTGGAAGGGAAACATGCATGCATTGTAGCCTGCAGCCACTTCGTCTTCCCTGCTCTCCATGCCTTCCCCAGCCTAGGGTGATCACAGTCTGGGGAAGGTACTGGGGATCTCTCTCTGCCTTTTTACTCCCTACTGGGGACCAGGAGGAGTGAGGTAGCTGCTGTTCCCTATGTCTTCCCCACACCAGAATCACCCTGGTGTGGGGCAGGGGCAGATAGCAGGGGAGGGAGAGTGGCTGCAGGCTGAAATGCCTGTACACTCCCTCTCTTGGAAAGATTTCCAGTGGTAGAAATTTCTCAGATATTCCCACTACTAGCAATAAATGCCTGTTCATGCCCTTTGAAAGATATCAGGTAAGACTCTGTACAACTTACTCTGAGATTCTCAGCACATATGTGCTAACATTGTCTTAAGTTTTAAGACAATTGCAAAAATGATTTAGAAAAAAACAGATGTAAGAAATGCAAAATGTGCAGGATCTACCAGCTGGCAATACTGTCATAATTTAAGGTTATCAAATTTGACAGTGTCCCTTCGAGCTGTACAGTAGCTGAAAGAAGTACCTAGCAAATAATGTTAAGTTAAATGGTGACGATTCATATACATGCTTATAAATGAAATTAAACCAACTGTAGAAAGTTTTTCAAAAGGAAACAGCTTTGAGGCTTTTTTACACGTGCTGGTAAAAGTGCCATGAGATCTAATGCACAATCCCACAACGCATCTCCTTCCATGTTATACATGCAGAAGGCATGTATACATGCTATACATACATGCAGAAGGCATGATTGTCAGAGGTCTACTTAGATAGTGGTAAGACAGAGTTACTTTGCAGCCCACTTGCAACATGCAGAGCTGATTTCATGGTATTTCATGATGGCCCCACCTCTCAGTGGAGAGGCAGTGCTAAGAGTCCTGCACCTGACAGTCTGTACCTGCGTAGCCAGGACTGAGAGTCCCATTAACTGTGGGGACTCAACCCTGGAAGCCATGGAGCATATGCAGGACCAGGAGTCCTGTCAGTAGCAGGACTCTCAGCTCTGGCAGCTGTGAGGTACTTCTGCGATCCTCCAGCCCTGGGGGATGTGGAGCGCCCTCCGTCTAGGAGACTGCAATGCCTGCAAGATTACAGCAGCTGCAATTTCCTAGCCTCAGGGGAATTGTGCTCCTCAGTGGCTGGGAGATGGCAGCAGCTGCAGTCTCCCAGCCACAGACTCCCTATACATGCAAATTAAAGCTGAATAAAAACCATCTACGTATAAAGTTATTACACATTTGTAAGCAATTGCTTCATAGCTGGTTGGACCTTTTTAAGCCCCATAGTTGATTTGCACATGCAGCCAGTCCTAAATTTATTGCACAGTTAACAAGGTAATTGCGTAATAGATAGAATATGTAGAAGGGGCCTAACTTTAATAAACCGTGCTGATTTTTTTTTTTTAACAATAAATGTTCTACTTTTTAATAACGGATAAACAAAACAAGAAAGATATGAACTGTTTTAATGAAGCCATTGGGGATAAATACAAAAAAAATCTAACCCCAGCAAATTAAAATCATTATTTATTATGAGATAATTACAATGCTCTACCTTTACAAGCAGAGCCAATGGCAGGATCCATGAAAACATGTAACTTAATACAATCCCCTGCCCCAGAGATTTTACAATTTTATTTTAAAACAAAGTGCAAGAAATGATGTAAAAAGTAAGAGATAGTTGTGCTTAGAAAGCCAGAGGCAACAGTAAGAGGGAAAAAGGTTATATAAGGTATAGGCAGTCTCTCAGGCTTTCAGTCCTGCAGTTATCTCTTGTGGAATGCTGTGAGCAACAGGCATGTTCCAAAACAGTCAGCACACTCCATACCTCTGTTCAAAATCTTTCCTTTCTTGGTGGCTGGCTTTATAAACAAGTGAGCCCAAAATAATCAATGTGAACAGCTTTGGGCTGAAGTGTAAAAATTTCCCTCCTGGCCTTAGACCCAAGATTCTTCTAATCAGCAGGGCAGCTCTGTCCCTCCTTTCCTTCTAGACAAGATAATGAGCTGCATTTGCCATAAGTTAAGTGTCCTATTAGTGTTTTTGGAAAAAAAAAGGTGAGTGGGGGGGCGGCCAGCATCCAAGGTATAATCACATGAGTCAACAAAAGAAGCCAGGAACATTCTTTCATCATCTGCACACTGTGCATGCTTTTTAAAATACTAATTGCTTGTAACCATCTTGAAAAATTATATTAATTCGTAGCAGCGTAACAACATGCTCTGATCAGTGCATTTGTCTGTAAATTGCCAAGCTCAATTACACCCCAACCAACACACTACCACAATGCACATAAATAATAATTCTAAATGATCAAGGCCTGACAGGTTCAAAGGGTCAGCATGAATATATCCCTGAATTTAACCATACCTTTTGAGGTCCCCCCCTAGACCCAAACATACGTCTTCCCCACACAGCTCTCTCTCCTGGAGCCCCATGCTCATCTGTACTTGGGCTGTCACCTGCTAAACAACACCAGAGAGGTCTGTTACCCCCTTCCAACAACAAATTGACTTTGGGAAATAACTAGGTATATTGCTCTCATACTACAGTGCTTAGCAACTTTCCAGATGCTTTTAGGTTGAGAACGTTGTGTGCTGTGCACCTAGAATTCATCTATATTATTGCCAGATTCAAAGGGGGTGAAATTTACTCATCCTGCTCCCCATTTTCACAAAACAAATAGTCCTCCCAAGAGTAAAACTGGTGGAGTCTGGGATTCCATTAGCTACCAACCAGGCATTGGACTGCTGCCTTTCATTAGAGGACTAGACCAGAGGACTGGAAGTTGGGAATAGCTGCAGTGACCTTAAAAGGCAGAAAAGACAAATCTGGCAATTACAGAACAGTAAATCTTTGTTCAGCATCTGAAAAACTGATTAAAATAATAAATGTATAGTGTTTTTGTTTTTGTTTTCTTTTAAAAAGCACAGCTTTGCTAAAGGAAAATTGTGCTATGCTAGATTTCTTTGAGTGGATTTGCAATATTGCCCATCCCCAAAAAACCCTATAGGCCAAGGGAATAGCACATAGTTTGCTTTGCTGATGTTTATTATACCCAGGGATTCTCCTGTGCCTGGGAAATTCCCAGGTGAGCCAGAAAGGGGGTCACTAATTTCAGAATAAGGGCATTTTTTAAATCTGAGCCACTTAATCATTTGCAGAGAAAGACCAACTTGATACAAGTATATTTAAAAGAAGGTATTGTATTGTCACAAAATAAACTTGGTAGATATCCAAAAGCTAGCTCTCTGGTTTTATTCACTGGTGCCAACCATGCTGTACAAATCTGGATTTAAAACTAAAGGTTCACTGATAGAGATTTTTGGGGCTGATACCGATAGGCAATATTTCAGAAGGCATATCAGCCAATACTGATCTGACTTCTGATACAGTTGCCTCCAACTGGTAAGTCCGGTGTGGTTAAAGGGAAGGGGCATGGGGGTGGGGGGTGCATATCAATGCCCCCTGCGGTGAGGGAGGGGGCAAGGGCAGGTGCTGCCTGGGTGGGGCCGGAGCCGTAGCTCATGGGTGGGGAGGCAACTCCCATCACTGCTTTCACCCTGGAAAGGCATTGGGGGGGGGGTACATGCCCCCCCAGATCTGCACGGGGCAGGCTGCAGCCAGGGCTGTGTGGGGCTCTTCTCGTTGGGGGCTGGGTTCATAGCAGGTGCTAGTGATGCAGGGGGGATGCTGCATCCACCCCAAATCTTTCCACCGCTCCGCTCCCAGCGTCACCACCTCCAGCTGCCCACTCCAGCCCTGGCTGAACACTCCACCTCCACCCACAAGCCAGGGCTGTCGGGCAGCAGGCAGTGGCGGTGCTGGGAGTGGAGCAGAGGCAAAATTTGGGATGGATGTAGCATCCTACCTACGCCCACTCCAAGAAGAGCCCCTGCTCAGCCCCAGCTCCAGCCAGCCCTGCCCAGCCTCACGTGGGTCCAGAGGCACACTCACTGTCAAGGCGCAAGAAGTGGTGGGAGCCCCCTCCCCCCCCCCTCCAAGCGCCATGAAGCCATGGTTCTGGCCCCACCCCAGGGTAGCACCTGCCCCTGCCCCCTCCCTCACCATGGAGGGCATTGATCTGCACCACCCCCACACCCCTTTCCTCCCTTTCCACCATACCAGACTTACAAGCTGGAGATAGATCTCCATACTACCGGCTTTGTTCCTCACTGCCTGAGTGCTGCGCTGCGGCTGTGCACAGCGCAGGCATTTATCGGCCCCATCAGGCCAATATCCGATACAGGCAGTTTTCTTTATATCAGTACTGATCTGATTATTGAACCAGTGTATCGGTTATAAAAGTTATGCTGTGTACAGAAAATAGCAAAAGATGCAATAATCAAGTTTTCCCTAGGACTGAAAAAAGAGGAAGGAAAAATATGCTTTTATAATCAACTTAAGGAATAGCACTCTTCTAAATAACCCCTTCTCCTCATCATTAGAGTTGAAGATACAAGGTGGAGGCTCTGACTTGCTCTGAAGTGGTTCATGCAACTGATTCTTGAAAATAATCAGTTTAGACCTGGCTTGTCCAACATACAGCCCGTGGGCCACCATGTGGCCAAGCCATTTTCTGAGGCCCGAGGTGCTATGACAGGAAACGAAAGTAAACACTGTTCACTTTCGTTCCCACCCCTTGTCCCTCCCCCAGCCCCTCAGCAGCTTCCTAATGGCTGCTGAAGGGCTGGGGAAGAGATAATGTTCCCACTCGCACCGCGTCAACTTGACGTTGCTGACACAGTGCATGTTGGAAAAGGAGTAGCCGGCAGCAAAAGCACGGGTCATCGGTGCAGCGCAGGGGGGTCCTGGGCAGAGCTTGCACTGGCCAGCACCGTGGGCGGCAAGGAGAGCCTGGCTGGGCACAAGCGGGGCGAGTGGAGCGGGGACAAAACCCACCAGACCCTCCCCAGTCAACTCCCCCCATGCTAAATTGCCGCTTGCACCTGGCTCTGCCCCTTGGGGCTGTGGTGGGGGAGAAGGAGGCATCATCCCAGGGCCTCCGCGCTTGCCCTGCTCCATGCTCACCTGCATGGTTCATCTTCCCGGTGGCAGGCGGAGAAGTTGCAGTGGGGGGCTGCGTGGGTGCTGCCCCATTCCCGGCTCTCAGGTTCCCGTGTGAGTGCATGGTGCCGGCCCAGGCTCACTGCACCACCTCTGCCTCCTCCCTCCCCGGCAGAGGAAGCCCCTTTTTTTGTTGGCTCTGGGCTGGGAGCTGCCAGGCGGGCTTGCAAAGCGCAGCAGGGCCCAGGGCGGGGGGCTTGGGTGGCCTGGGTCCCTACCCTGCAGCTGCTCCACCTGTAGAGCCTGGCACATGCGGGCTGCAGCGCCACGGCCCTCGCCCGGCTCCTCCTGTGCATCCATTAGAAGCTTTGTTCTTATAACTCGAAAGGACCCCATTAAAGGTAGAAGCGACGAGAAGTTCTGTGGCACTCTTGTAAGATACTGTCTCATCCAGTCTGACATCCGGTGTAACATGGGCCATAGAATTTCACGTGCTGAATTTCACCGCTTCCTGTGAGGTCTTTGAATATGGCTTGCCAGCCCACTGGGTGATAAAAAGTTTATGATCCAGCCCCACATTCAAAAAGGTTGGGCACCACTGGTTTAGACCAAGGTTTCCAAAACTGAGTCCCTAAAACTAGAGTTTTAAATACACAAGGTGTCTAAAATAACTGTGGTTCCCAGTAAACTGAAGATCTCAGTCTTACATTTATAGTACAGTATAGTCCATTTTAAAGACATTTACAGCTACTAATTTTGTTTCTACATCTTTGCAGACATTGGTTGAATATGGAGCAAACGTCACTATGCAAAACCATGCTGGAGAAAAACCTTCACAAAGTGCTGAGCGACATGGGCACACCATGTGTTCCCGTTACTTGGTCGTTGTGGAGACATGCATGTCATTGGCATCTCAGGTTGTGAAGCTAACTAAACAACTGAAGGAGTGAGTTTTTCATTCATATTAGTGGGATGCTGGTTACACTACAATTGTTCTTCCACCTGGGTTCTCCCTCACTTTCAGGCTTTAATAATTCCTTTTTTTTTTGCTGCTTACACACAGTCTGGCAATTTATGTGTACCTCTTTTTACTCCACCCATCATACTGTTCCCAGCTTGTTTTCAACTATTCCTTCATTTTTTAACTGCTTAGCTGTTCAGCAGCTCTCTTTGTGAAAGTTTTCTGGCTTTTGTCAAAATATCCATGCATTCATATTAAGGTAAGTAATTGTCTCTCTCTCTCTCACTTTGAAAATGCCAGGACATCATTATTGCTATTCATATTTTCTGTTCACATAACATGTATTCATAAGCACTGAAATGGCTGTTCCCAGCTACAGTGTTGGATGTTGATGTTGGGAGGAATAATGGAAATAATATTTAGAAGGTCTTTGGTACTTGGAAGGCTCCCAAAACCTGCAAGGGCTACTCAGGAAATGTTGAATGTTCTGTTTTTCCTTTATATGAGCTAGTTTGAGCGCCGTAGTATGACTCTTTGCTAATTAATTAAGTATATAGCGCCTAACTTCTCAGAATGTGAAGTGTATAATTGGTCATCTGTTTTGTTTGCAGTTATTATGAATGAGACTATGAATGACCACTTAGGGTGGAATTTTCAGAAACATTCATCATTGGTCTAACTTGGCTCCCACTGAAATCAACAGTAAAACTCTTATTGACTGCAGTACAATGAAATTAGTCCAGCAGGGACTTTTTGAAAACCCTGTCTTTAATGCAGACCATATCTGTTTTATACACGTACCACATCATGGTGTGGGTAACAAAGTTCCATGATTAACTGGAAACTTCATCTTGAAAATTTTGTCTTTAAAAGAAGAACTATTATTTATTTTTCTTTGGCTGTAAATATGTGTATCTTCCTCGTAATTTTTATATAACAAAAGGACTAAAATAGCAGCTAGTCTTTATCTTGCAAAATACTTTACTGCATTTGAGGCATTTAGGTTTTGCATATATACATGCGTACAATTCATGTGTGTACTTTTCTTGTATTAAATTATATTTTAAGTTTTTACATATATGGACAAACATACATGCATGCATACAGAGAACAAGAAAACTGAAAACTCATTCTTTCATTCTATTATTATTATTATTATTATTATTATATAATATTTTGCATTATATTTTCATGAAACCCAAACCAGAATAGAAACAAGAAGTGTAAATGAAAGCCATAAATTTTCCAGGTTTCACCCTGTCATAGGCTAGGCTGCTTGTGGCATGAAGCTGACTGCTGTCTCTTTTCCACTCTCTCCCCACAGTCCACATGCAGAGCAAGAAGGGGCTTCCCTCCAGGGACTCTTTCTGGGTTGACTGGTGGGTCCCTGTGAGATTCTTTCATCCAGCATCATGGCTACTCTGTTCTGTACTGGACACTACTTTGGTCCATGGTTGGCCTGTGTTTTGGTGGAGACAAAAGGAGGCTAAGAACCTCCTTTGCCTCCCAACCTTCCTTCACCTGCATCAAACAAGGGCAGGCAGCTTACAGAGTCCCAGCTGGGCTTTCCCCATGCTCCCTGAAAATCCTGAACTCACTCAAGCTGCTGCAGACCTTAGAGCATTTCTGCTTAACAAGCAGTGCTCTTCATCATATAGGAATAAGTGTCCCTCTGAGCACGCTTATGCAATAGAAGGCATGACACTAATTTTCTGGTTCAGGAATTAGTGCACAGAGTTGGTGAAACATGTTTCAGTACAGTCTGATTGTGCTGCAACTAGATATACTGTCTGGTACCTGCACACAAGACCCTTCATGGAAATGCTACAGCAGGTAATGATGTCCTACAATAACAGAAGTATTAAGAAAAAGCACATCCAGAGAAAGCATTCAATGGCTCCTTGATGCAAAGTGAACTAATAACACAAAATAAAACATACAAAGAAACTTCTGAAGTGATCTTAGTTTCTCTTTAGAGAGAGAAACTTTAACATCAGGAAAAAGGAAATAAATAGTAGCCAGAAATGCATCTCTCACTTTCATCTTCAGAAAAGCCTTTGCTCAGGATCAAGCCCAGAAGAGGAAGAGACCCAAGAAGATTCCTTCTGCTTGAGATCAAAAGGAAAGTGAATTGACAGAAAGTACTTTCAACTTTGAGATAAAAATTCCACACTACCTCTCTTCCTAACTATAGGAGGGGCAGGGTGGCAAAGTAGAAGCTGTTTGAGAAGGTATACATTTTCATAGGCAGCAATCTACTCTGATGAAGTAGGTTGTGATCTACAAAAGCTTATGCCTCTTTGAAACAGTTTCTAAGGTCCCACTCTGCCTTGCCTTATGCGTGATTTCAGACTGACAGAGCCAACTACCCGCTGTCTAGCTACAGAAACTACAATCAACTCAGAGTGAGAAGCAAAAAATATATATACCCATGAGATACCCATGTGATGGGTGACAATTTTTTTTCACAATGCCAAAAATGCATTGTTAGTACTTCCTAAGGCTACTATGGCTCTTAAAATATTAGGGCATGGATGTGTAAGATGTTTATACTGGTGTAGTAGCCTTATGCTGGTGTATAAAGTAGCAGACAACTGACACAGACCCATAAAACTAAACCAGTTTTGCCCCATCCTGTGGAGAAAAACAACCAAATGAGTTGGGATAAAGCTCCTGTGATGTAAGTTATACCAGTATAAATTTCTGTCCATGTACATCCCACAGTAGCCATTTGCTAAAGGATCCTCTGCCTTCTAGCAATAGCATCAGTACACAAAATTAAATTAGTATGCAAAACCAATGTAAATTATTCCACGATTTATGTTTGGCTGGCCAAGGCCTTAGTGAATCAGTCAGTGATTTCCTCAAAAATAAACCTTTTGCCTAAAAACATAATAGATCTTTACTCGGAAGATAAGGACAAAAATACTCTCTTGTTAGTGAAGCATAGACTACATAGTTTAATTTAAAAAAAATAACAGATTGTCGTTTTGTTCCCCTTTTTTCATCTACATTCTCAAGGATTTGGCTGAAATTTTGTAAGAATGATTTTTGCAATTTTGTGCAGATTAAAGTAGCTAAATAAAATGGTTGTAATATAAAATGAAGCCCTATAGTTTTACTGTTTGTTTTCTGCAGTTCTCAATTTTATATAAAGGATAAAAAGATATGTAATGAAAATGTTAACATATTTATCCATCATTTGTTTCCTTAACGTGTTCCTTTTGTTGTTTTCTGTTGCATAAATTGGACTTTATTAAATGCAAAAATTGACCTGAGGACACTGAAAGGTATTTTGATACAGTCTAGACTAGAGACTCAGATTATTCCCATTAGAATCAAACTAAACTGATTTGTTAAGGAGCAAGCTGGGCCCACAACAACAGTTTCCATTGACTTCAGAGGGAATTTGGCCTAAATGGAAGCTAATAAATAAGGCCCTGTCTATATAGCAAACTTAACATGCCTGGCAGTGGCTCCCTTGAGCATGTTGTGCTTGTCCATACAGGCTGAACCAGAAGCAGTGCAGCTGGGTTGGCACAGCACTGCAGGCAGGCTAATTAGCTCAGGAGTGGGCCACTTGACTATGGGAGACCATATCTACGCAGTAATGTTAGCATGCTCAACCATAATGCCCTCAGGCATGCTGAGGTGTTCTGCACAGGCTGCCTCTTAAACCAAAAGAAGTATAGCCACATCTGTTTTGTGGTTTAGGCAGACTGTAATTATCATGGCAGAATGACAGGGTCAGTTAACTTACCCATGGGCTAATTAGATTGCTCACGGCTCCAAAGTGCTATGCTGCTCCCAACTTAAGAGGCTACCTGCCCAGAGCCGCACAGCATGGTAAGTTTACTGAGTCAACGTGTATTTAACACTGCAGTTCATTACAGTGCTTTTACAAGGTATTGCTTTAGAAGTTACGGTACTGTAACTTCTAAATTATACATGCAGATATGCTGTAGCAGGGTTATAGTGTTGTTATATAGCCATGATAGTCCAGGAAACAGGTGAGAAGAGAGTTTGTTTGGTAATATGTGTTCTTGAACCAGCTACATAGTTGTGCTTCCAGGCACAAAGTACTTTTCCTTGGGTCCAGGAAAGGAGCAGATAAAACCTCAGCTAAATGCCTGGTTTTAGAAAAAAAAAGCAACGTTTTTCTGGCAATATCTTTTATGGGAGCAGCTGCATATCTGAGTGAGATGTTAGATAAGTTTTCAGGTACAAGTGTCCTTTTTCAAGCCTGTTGGTCCAATAGAAGATATCATTAAAAAGCCTTGCTTCTTGCATCTCTCGTGAATTATCTTGGCTACAAAAACATTCCAACCCTTCTACAGTATTGATAAACAACGATTTGTGGTTAACTCCACTATATAAATGAGCAGGGCAAGCAAGGGAAGAAGAAGATACAAATGAAACTAGTCAGTTAAAGAAGGGAAGACAGGGCAGTAAATATGTGAAGCAAAGAGAGTTGAGCAGAAATAACTACAGGCTTAGACAGTTGAAATAAATAACCCTATGTCAAAGAATCAGACTATTCAGAAGGGAAATAGAGAGAGGTTAGTAGAAGGAGCATGTAAACTATAATGAGCATAAAACCATTGTTCTTTGTTTAATTCATGGTTTTTAAAGCCTGGTAAAGTTATACATTTTTGTTCCCAAACCTATCTTCTGAAAGTACTGTCTGTGTTTCTCCTGAGTACAAGGACTATGAGGTCAGAGATGGAACTGTTATTCCATGTAAAATATTTTCTCACTGGTGATTGGGTGTTTCTGTCCTTTATCATTTTTCTGACTGAATTTATTCTGGAGTATAGTAGTTGTTTCACTCTCATTATTTCTATGAAAGAGTTTGGTACAGTGGATGAGAAGGATCAGATTCTGCAGTAGACTTGTAGGATATATGGACTCTGATACTTTCGTCGTGTGGTGGATTGATTGTGGTAATGGTAGAGATGTGTTGGCAGGCTTTGCATTTGTTGTCT